CCAGCCTGGCAATACAGCGAGACTCTGTCTCAAAAAAAAAAAAAAAAAAAAAAAAAGAAAATATTCCAAGCTGGGTAAAACATTGTAGTTAGAACTATCACACCCTCATACATTAAAAAAGAGCTACGAAAAAATTAAAACAGGCTGAGCACGGTGGCTCATGCCTGTAATCCCAGCACTTTGGCACTTTGGGAGGCTGAGGCAGGTGGATCATTTGAGGTCAGGAGTTCGAGACCAACCTAGTGAATATGGCAAAACCCTGTCTCTACTAAAAATACAAAAATTAGCCAGGCGGGGTGGTGGGTGCCTGTAGCCCCAGCTGCTTGGGAGGCTGAGACAGAATTGCTTGAACCTGGGAGACAGAGATTGCAGTGAGCTGAGATTCCCCCACTGTACTCCAACCTGGGCAAGAGTGAGACTCTGTCTCAAATAACCAAATAAAAATAAAAGAACTAGCAAACCTTAAACTCAGAGGTATACATCCAGGATGGGGAAAAAGAAACATCTTACTGGTTAAGAGTGGTTCTCTTACACACTCAAAGGAGAGAGGCATTAGATGGCATTAGATGGGCAATTACTAACCTCTCAGACTTCAGTTTTTATATGTGCACAGTAAAAAGATTATATTCAAAATGTAAAGAATAATGTGGGAAATTATTAATGGATAGCTGAGTTCACCATTTTTACAGTACTGCATACGTTGCAGTTTAGCATCTCAATGCTCACACTCATACAAGTATCTGTTTGGTTTTTTTTTTCAGAGATAGGGTCTCACTCTGTTACCCGGGCTAGACTGCAGTGGCGTGATCATAGCTCACTGCAGCCTCTGCAGTCTACCTAGGCTGAGGCAATCCTCCTGCCTCAGCCTCCAGAGTTGCTGGGACTCCAGGTGGGCACCATCACACCTGGCTAATTTTCTTATCTTTTGTAGAGACAGGGTCTTGCTATGTTACCCAGCCTGGTCTTGAATTCCTGGCCTCAAGAGATAGATCCTCCTGCCTTGACCTCCCAAAGCCCAGGGATTATGGGCATGAGCCACTGAACCCAGCCACAAGAATCTTTTTTATCCCACATTATCTTATATGAAGCCATTTACTTGTACCACATAAATCCTTTTTATTCATAACTCAAGTCTTCCTGTAATTTTTCTCTCTTCTTAAATTGTCTCATTACCACAGACATAAAATATCTGGCATTTACCTATAAAAATCTCTCATTCCAGGATTTCCAAAACCACATTCTTCTTCCCTGTTTTTGGACATGTTCCAAAGACAACTAGTTTTGAAGATAAAGATCTTTCCCTCTTCCACACAAAGGATTTATAATCAACTTAATGGTCACTGCAGTGACATATCATTACCACTGATGAGCAGAGACAAATCAGAACCTTAAACAATCAACAAGGCAGTTGATCCTGACAGTTAGAAAGCCGCACCACACTGCTGACCTAACTTTTATAAAAACATTGTTTCCGGGTCACCTTCTTAGGCAGAAACTGGAAATCAAAGACTAACAGAAGAATGGTGTCTCTCAAGAGGCAAGCCAGGTATGAAATCCAAGACCCTCCACTTAAGTAAGTTCTCTGAATCTCAATTTCTGTCTCTTCTCTCTCTCTCTCTCTTTCTTTCTTTCTTTTTTTTAAGACAGAGTCTGGCCCTGCTGCCCAGGCTGGAATGCAGTGGCTGTGATCGTGATCTCGGCTCCCTGCAGTCTCCGCCTCCCGGGTTCAAGTGATTCTTCTGCCTCAGCATTCCGAGTAGCTGGGATTACAGGCGTGTACCACCACAACCGGTTAAATCTTTTTTTTTTCTTTTTAGTAGAGTCGGGGTTTCACGATGTTGGCCAGGCTGTTCTTGAACGCCTGACCTCAAGTGATTCACCTGCTTCGGCCTCCCAAAGTGCTGGGATTACGGGCAGGAGACACCGCGCCCAACCTGAAGTTCAATTTCCTCATGTATTGATTAAATGAGATAATTTATTTGGAGTTCTTAGTATAGAGCTTGGTATACAAGCAACATCCAACAAATTGAAAAATCACTGAAGCACCAAAGCACTGAAGACATTCCCTTCAACAACTACTATTTTACATAAGTTATAAACACATGTGTATATAAATGTGTGTAAAGGTAGAAATAAATTGGTGGACAAAAAGATAACAATTGAATGCTTTTGCTCACTCCAGGAACCACTCCTCCCTATGAACTTTCAGTAAGAGTTACCACGAGATAGCCTACAATCTTACATTTCAAGAAAACACTAAAAACTCCGGGGACACATTCCCATTATATCCCGTCAAAACTGAGAATAAACAGAACACACTCTGCGAAGAATAAGGAGGGAATGACGAACAATTTGACCAAATTCCTTGACGGAGATCATGGTAGTTACCAGAAAACAAAGCCAGTTACTCCACTGAGACCACTCTCCTTCTCTGACCTCTATGCATCCTTCCCAAAAAGCCTCCCCACCTACCTGAAAAGCATCTCCTCTCTCCCGGTCCGAACGCCAAGCCCTTTTCTGATCAAATCAGAATCTCCTAGACCCACAGCTGGAGAGTAGGCTGGCTAGGAGCACAAAAGCCGCCGCCGCGTGGGTCCCGCCCGGGCCGCAAGGTCCCTCAGGGGTCCTTCTCCTCCCAATCCTCCCCCTCGCGGTACCCCCGTGGCCGCCAGGACCCCAGACCCGTGCCCGGGGCGCGGATGGAAGGCGCTGGCGGCCGATCCTGCCTGGGCACCCCACCCACGGGGGGGGCCACCACCTCCATCTCTGCACTGCCCTCCGGACCCGGGAAGCCCCTCGGATTGGACCCGTCCCCGCCCCTAGCAGGGCTCCGGCCCCACACATCAAGGCTCGCGCACCCGAGACACTCAGTGGTCGCGGCTCTCCAGCCCCGGCTCCACTCGCCTGGTCCGCTGGGCTCCGCTGCCCGCCGCCCTCGCCGCCAGCTCACCCCTGGCGTCTCGGCCAGGGTTTCCGGACGCCCACGTGACCCTCCCGTCCTGGGGCACGCTGGGAGTTGTAGTCCTGCGGCGCGGCCTCACCTGCTCGCGCGGAAGAGGGCGGGAGGGCGGAGGCCCCAGTGAAGCCAGCTGCTGAGGACCCGGCCGGGAACGTTAGCTGCAAAAGACCAGAGGCAGAGAGAAGAAATGATATGGGGAGAACTGGTGCATACTTTTTTTTTCTCAAGAGAGCGGTATTTGGTGTTTGTTTTTATAAAAAGTAGCACACAACCAAGTGTGCTACTGACCTGCTGTAACTTTAGGTGTCTAAGTTAATTAAATGCAGGCCGGCCACAGTGGGCTCACGCCTGTAATCTAACACTTTAGGAATTCGAGAAGGGAGGATCACTTGAACCCAGTATTTCAAGACCAGCCTGAGCAATAAAGCCAGACCCCGTCTCTACAAAAAAAATTAAAATTAGCCAGGCGTGGTGGCACGTGCCTGCGTTCCCTGCTACTGGGGCAGCCAAGGTGCGAGGATCGCTTAAGCCCAAAAGTTTGAGGCTGGCAGCTGTGATCGCTCCATTGCACTTCAGCCTGGGCAACAGAACAAGACCCTGCCTCCAAAAAAAAAAAATCCGGCACAAGTGGCTCACACCTGTAATCCTAACACTTTGGGAGGCCGAGGTAGGAGCATCATTTGAGGCCAAGAGTTTGAGACCAGCCTGGGCAAGATACTGAGCGCCCCCCTCCCCCGCTGTCGTTTCTTTAAAAAATAGCCGGGCTGGGGCCGGGTGCGGTGGCTCAAGCCTGTAATCTCAGCACTTTGGGAGGCCGAGGCGGGTGGATCACAAGGTCAAGAGATCGAGACCATCCTGGTCAACATGGTGAAACCCCGTCTCTACTAAAAATACAAAAAATTAGCTGGGCATGGTGGCACGTGCCTGTAATCCCAGCTACTCAGGAGGCTGAGGCAGGAGAATTGCCTGAACCCAGGAGGCGGAGGTTGCGGTGAGCCGAGATCGCGCCATTGCACTCCAGCCTGGGTAACAAGAGCGAAACTCCGTTTCAAAAAAAAAAAAAAAAAAAAATAGCCGGGCTCGAGTGGCTCATGCCTGTAATCCCAGCACTTTGGGAGGCCGTGGCGGGTGGATCACGAAGTCAGGAGATCGAGACCGTCCTGGTTTCCACATAGTGAAACTCCGTCTCTATTAAAAATACAAAAAACTATCTGGGCGTGTGGTGGCCCACACCTGTAGTCACAGCTACTTGGGAGGCTGAGGTAGGGGAATTGCTTGAAACCAGGAGGTGAAGGTTGTAGTGAGCTGAGATCGTGCCATTGCACACCAGCCTGGCAACAGAGCAAGACTCCACCTCATAAATAAATAAACAAATAAATAAAATACAGACACTTGTTTGAATTTGAAAGAAAACTTCTCTTAACCCAGAAAATTTCCACAACAACCATTACATACCTGTTCTCAAGATAAACAACCACTAGTTTTCAAGTAACAGAACTTGACAACACCTTTTATCAAACATAGTTCCATTATGCTGGCTTTATCCAGAAGCAAAACAAACTTCGAATATCTTTTTCCTGTTAAACTTCACATATCTTCACAGCAGGAGGTAGTTTTGCAAATTGGAGCAAGGCACCCACGCCCAGGAAGTCAGTCTCTTAGCCTCCTGTAGGAACTGGGAGATACAGAAACTCTGTGTCTGCATTTCAAAAAGATGACCCCCAAGACCTTGAGGACACATTTCTGAGTTGTGATACTGGCAAGAAGCTTATTTCACCATTATAAAGATTTGTATGCATTTGAAAAGGACAGAGAAAGAAATTTTGAAAGAAAAGAGAGAAGGCTGAGAAGTCTCTTCCTTCATTTTTAGCAGAGGAATGAAGCCTGTTATTTTTCATTTTTATTTGCCCTTATACAACGGTAGTTTTGTTTCTAGCCCTTACACAGCAGTAGTTTTGTCTCTAGGCATCCAAGGGCATGCCTAGAAATATGATGTCAGGGTGAGCAAAAATAAATGAGCCAAATATGTTACTTTTATTTTTAAACATTCATTGTGAATCGTTTATTTTTCAGCCTAAAAAAGGAAGCAAATTCTGACACATGCTACAACATAAAGGAACCTTAAAAAAACATTATGTTAATTGAAATAAATCAGACAGCCAGGCGCGGTGGCTCATACCTGTAATCCCAGCACTTTGGGGGGACCAGGTAGGCAGATCACCTGAGGCTGGGAGTTTGAGACCACCCTGACTAACATGGAGAAACCCTGTCTCTACTAAAAATACAAAATTAGCCGGGCATGGTGGCACATGTCTGTAATCCCAGCTACTCTGGAGGCTAAGGCAGGAGAATCACTTGAACCTGGAAGGCAGAGATTGGGGAGAACCGAGATCACACCATTGCACTCCAGCCTGGACAACAAGAGCGAAATTCTGTCTCTAAAATAAAATAAAATAAAATAAGTCAGACATAAAAGGACTAGTACAGTACAATTCCACTTACATGGGGCAGCCAGAATAGCCAAATTCAAATTCATAGAGTGAGAAAGCATGGTGGTTGCCCGTGGCTGGAGGGAAGAGGAATTGAGAAATTGTTGTTTAATGGCTATGAAGTTTCCATTTGGGATGACAAAAAAGTCCTGGAGATGGATGGTGATGTTGGCTGCACAACAATGTATTTAATGCCATTGAATTGTACACTTAAAAATGGTTAAAATGGTAAATATATATATATATATAGTAAAATTTATGTTTTGTGTTATATTTACATAGGGGTGTGTACATATGTGTGTGTGTATAGTGTCAAGTATATAACGTGTGTCACCACCACTCAGGGCTAGAATGCCTTCTTAGCCACGTGATGGTGTATACCTATAATCCCAGCTACTAGGGAGGTTGAGGCAAAAGGATTACCCACCTTTGGAGGCTGCAATGAGCTATGATCATGTCACTGCACTCCAGCCTGGGTGACAGACGGAGACCCAGTCTCTTAAAAACGAAAAAAAAAGTATCTATATACACATACATGTATACATATGAATGCCTTCTTTCCTGGTAGCCCAAGCTATGCTCTTTGTATTCATAGTGACCTTGGTGGAGAGGGTCAGGTTGTAGACAGAGGCAGGATCTCTCTCTCCTTGACTTCCAAAACCATCAGGATATTTAAATATTTGTTTCACTGCTATGTTCAGGTGAAAAAAAAAGGAAAAAGAGAAGAAAGAAAAAAAATTTTGTAATATTTGTTTTCTACCTGTAGATGTTCTCCAAGTGCGCAGTGGGTCTGAGTCAGGTGACTTTTTGAAAAACAGTAACCAGGCGGGGGCATGGTGGCTCATGCCTGTAATCCCAGCACTTTGACAGACCAAGGCAGGCAGATCACCTGAGGTAAGGAGTTCCAGACCAGCCTGGCCAACATGGTGAAACCCCATCTCTACTAAAGAAACAAAAATTAGCCAGGCATGGTGGTGGGTGCCTGTAATCCCAGCCACTTGGGAGGCTGAGGCAGGAGAATCACTTGAACCCGGGAGGTAGAGGTTGCAGCGGGCCCAGATCGCACCATTGCACTCTATCCTGGGCAACAAGAGCAAAACTCCATCTCAAAAAAAAAAAAAAAGTAAACATTACCAGAAGAAAGACAACATTTTGGACACTTAACTTCATGACATTGACACCTAACAGGTTTTATTTCCTGCCCCTGGTCACACATTTGGGGTGAATCTTGACCTACACTGGATTTCCACATTGCAGACATGTGCCGGTGGCTCTCAGCCTGCAGTAATGTTTGGCAGGGTCTGTTGTTTTCTTGCTGTACCTGACAGTGTTGAGTTTATCTCACCCAGAAGAGAGTATCCTGAAAATGGATAGGTAACTGGAGTTTTGGGTAAGACAGATTTTTCCAGGTTACCTGAAGACATTATAGAAGTAATGTTCCTGGATGGTGAATAAATTGCCCTGTATTTCAGTGCTTCCCAAACATTTTGGACCCAAGCCTACAGTAAAAAATACATTTCAGGCCTGGCACAGTGGCTCATGCCTGTTATCCCAGCCCTTTGGGAAGCTGATATGAGAGGACTGCTTGAACCTAGGAATTTGAGACCAATCTGAGTGAGGCCCTGGCTCTACAAAAAAGTGAAAAAAAATAGCCAGGCCCAGTGGTTCACACCTGTAATCCCAGCACTTTGGGAGACCAAGGCAGGTGGATCATGAGGTCAAGAATTTGAGACCAGAAGACCTAGGCGGATGGATCACCTGAGGTCAGGAGTTCGAGACCAGTCTGACCAACATGGTGAAACCCCATCTCAGAAAAAAAAAAAAAAGAGAATTTGAGACCAACCTGACCAACATGGTGAAAACCTGTCTCTACTAAAAATACAAAAATTAGCCAGGTGTGGTGGCGCACACCTGTAATTCCAGCTACTCAGGAGGCTGAGGCAGGAGAATCGCTTGAACCCGGGAGATGGAGGTTGCAGTGAGCCGAGATTGCAACACTGCACTTCAGCCTGGGCCACAGAGCGAGACTCCATCTCAAAAAAAAAAAAAAAAAGTGCTCGCTTCGGCAGCACATATACTAAAATTGGAACGATACAGAGAAGATTAACATGGCCCCTGTGCAAGGATGACACGCAAATTCGTGAAGCGTTCCATATTTTTAGGCAGCAAATCACACTCCCACGTGCGTACCTATGCAACAACCTTGCATGTTCTTCACATGTACCCCAAAACCTAAAATGCAATAAAATAAATAAATGGAAAAAAAAATAGCTGGACATGATGTGCACATCTGTGGTCCCAGATACTCAGGAGGCTGAGGCAGGAAGATTGCTTGAGCCCAGGAGGTCGAGGCTGCCGTGAGCCATGATGGTGCCACTGCACTTCAGCCTGGGTGACAGTGAGATCCTGTCTCAAAAAAAAACATTCTTTTTTACATCACCCAGTACAATATGCACGTGTACAACCAACCCGAAAATTTTGCAAAACAGTGGCCACTGTTACTACGTGAGATACATTCTGAAATTGTTTCCTAATCCCTTCTTGT